AATAATAATCTTGAGACGAAGTTAAGTTACACTCACAGAGGGCAATGGAGATCTGGACCTCGACCGTGATCTGCAAAAGTTCCACAAAAACCAGAATTTAAAATCCGCAAGTTCCCTTATCAAATTGATCCAACGGCCTTGATGCCTCTTCCATGTCAGTTAACATATTCCAAGGAGGTAAAACCACGCATCACAAAATATAAAAAGACCAACACAGAAGACTGAAAAAAGGTAAAGTATATGCATAGAATGATGAAAAATGAATAAAAATAGACCATTTCAGGGCGACATATTAAGGCACCAATTATCGTGAGAAAAGAAATCTTCCCTACTGCACCACAAAATCCAGAGAATCCAGATGGTGCATCCTATTGGCTTGGCAAATCTTGAAGCCCACAATTGTAATGAAATTGTCCCTATTGCTCATTGGAGGTTATAAACAATCCAGCTCTATATGGCAATCCATGATCTCCTTGGTCCCCAATCTAGCACCCATGGACATTTACATGCTAAAAGTATTAGAACAGATGAACTGTGAAGGTATCCAAAGTCGCCCATTCTAAAAAATATCATACCTCCACAACAAAATGAGTTGCAGACAATTGAACCAAATCCCACCAAGATCCTAATTTCCAATTTCCAGTATGCTGCATGTTTCCATATCTAAGAGTTAAGAAAACAAAGGAATCTTTACAAAAGCAAAAAGGAAACTGAGAACACTCTGACATTGAGGCAAGTTTCACCAAGTTCCGGACAAAGCAAGATAGGGGAAAATTGACTGAGGGAGGGAATGTGAAGGGGACAACAGTTTTGTGTCAGAAAAATTAAAATTTTAAATCTGAATTTCTTAGAGAAGAAATAATAAATAATTTATTTACAAGAAGATTCTCTATGACTTTCAATTTTAATGAAAGGTGTTAAAAGAAACAAGTCCCAGTTTTTTATTCCGAAGAAAACAAACAACAGACTGAAACAACTGACTTCACAAGGACAAATCAAAATGAAATTAATTTTATTCATGCAAGAAATTTGCCATATCGTGCACGTGAATTTAATTTAATAAATTCCAAATGATCTCTATTTATTCCTATTCTAATCATTATCAAAAATTCCAAAAAAAAAATCCCTAAGTTAGCAGTGTGCAGTCATTAAAATGCCTCTTCTGGTCTTTTCATCTCTTCACATTGGTGGAGAGGCTATGAAACTCTAAACACATCAGTAAAGTCATCAAGTCGGCCAACCATACTGTCCTTCCATCGAGATACCAAATAATTTATGAATAAAATAATACTTGGAAATAAAAGTAGCCAGACAATTAGTATTCGTCAAAAAATCTGCACTTTCAAAACATTTCATACCCTGACAACGAACGAGACTTTGATCTTGAACGAGACCGGGCAGCAGGAGATCTTGATGGAGATTTAGCAGGTGGTGAACGCTGTGATGATTTACCCTTTGGAGATTTGCTGCATACAGAACAAGTATCAACAGGTTAACAATGAATTAAAATATAGAATATTTTTTATTTAAAATAAATATTGTATAGACCTTTGGCTCCGGTCCCGACTGTAACTACGGCTTCGGCTATAGCTTCTTCCTCTAGAATGAGATGGGCCCCGGCTAGGACTTCTAGATGAATCCCGTCTTGAATCATATTCCCTCACCTATATGGAGGTAAAAGAAAAAGGAAAATCAGCAGAAGTAGCATGCACTAAAAAAATAAAACTTACAAAACGTCAAATCCATGTCATACTCGAACATAACCCTTGGAAAATGCATTCCGAAACTCAGAGTCATCAAGCTTCTTGATCTGTAGTGAAAGAAAATACCATCAATTATAGATGACGATTTTGAAAGCTCATGTCTGGCTATCCATGATGTAATTATAAATAAATGAAACCATGGTAAATAAGTAACTCACAGCATATTTCATATCATCATAATTTGTGTAATCCACAATACCAGTAGTACCTGAAAAATAACATAATAATTAATACATCAAAGCCTACAGCAGACAATATAAACCACAAAGTAACAAAGAACATAATCTCTCAGACTCCTGCAGGCTCAAATGCAAACTCTCGTAAATAGAACCAAGACAAAAGGAAGATATTCGGATGCATAAAAAAAATAAAATATAGTATAAAAACTGTTTAAATACCAATACATCCAAACCATCTTAGCACAATTATGAACCAGAAACTTCATCCAAGTGTCACATACCCCTTCCATCATGAAAGACCTGGGAAAAGCAAACATCTCCTGCCTTGCGCATGTGATCCTGCATTTATAAAAAAGCATTGTTTTGAGACAATATTCATAAACACCCTGAAAAATAATCCAATAGAACATGATTGAACAACAATAACTCTTTTCAACAGCTCACCTTAAGATCCTGCCAGGATGCTGAAGAGGGCAATCCAGTGACTAGAACTGCACAAGGTTCAGTGGAAAATTTAGAAACGTAACAAGAGTCTTAATATATCTGATACAATGTTATCAATGGTGGATGGCGGCAGATGGCCAAGAATCCAACCATATACCCATTGCACCCCATGGAGTGCCAAAGGCAGGGCTTCCCTTCCCAAATTGCCCGTGATGGAGGGATTGAAAAAGCCACATTTGAGAATTATGAAAAGCAATAAATATTTCAAATATATACACACCCCGATATTCAGAGCGTCTGGATACCCCACGTCCAGCCCGTCCATTGCTGTGACTGCTGTGTCGATCTCTTGAGGATGAATGACCACGTCCACCATGTGCAGGCTCCACCTATAAGGATACAAGTTACAGTGTTGGTGAGGTATGCAAAGTCATCTTGTTTCTCACCACTTCTAATTTGTTATAGTTATCATAATATTGAAGCATATGATTGAGAAATAACCAACCCGTAACCGGTGCCCATCAAAATCATAGCCATCACGTCCACGTATTGCATCCTCAGCGTCTTGAGCATCTTCAAACTGCAATAATCAGCATAAGTCAAGATATTGCGTAAAGGGAGGAAAAGAAATTTATGAGACTCTAAGTGTCTCCAAACTCACCTCTACAAATGCGTAACCGGGGGGTCTTGGGGGAACCTTTAGATCTATGTGAGTTATGTGTCCATACTACAACGTGAAAAAGTTAATTAGGCATAAACAACAAGAAAGCCCGCAATTATGAAAGAGACTAATAAACATTCCTACGGAACATTAATTATAGAGAGCAAACAACAAAAAATCATCAACAGTCACATCAGGAGCACATCCGATATACAATGTCCCAAAGGGGACCTTGAAAAATTGCATTGTAGTATTTTTTGCAATTAGAATTCATTATTATAACATAGTTTTGACCCATTTTAATTCTAAACATTGATCACTGCAGTCCCTGATCACCATAGTCCCTTAACTTCACAATAACCTCACTGTAAGCCATTCTGACTTGGCAAAAATCATTCACCTTAGTTGTTATCCACTACATTTGTTATTAAAATCAAAGACAAAAGTGAATCTCACTTTATAAACAGCCTGTTATCTCGCCAACTAAAAAAGATGGACATGGATCTGTCTGGAGTGAATTGTATTAGCTTTTACGGGGAATTGAACATAGAAACCTGGCAACACAAGAGTAGCTAATGGCACCAGACACACAACATCAAGGACCAAAATGACGGCTCTCAAAATCAAAGCATACATCCTCATTGACTAAAATGAGATTCACTCCTTCGAAATCAAAGCATACAATCTCAGGGACTAAAATGAGATTCACTCCCAGCCTTAATAAACCAAACAAAATCCTCAAATAGCGGAAGAAACAAAAATAAGGAATAGATCCTAGCAAGCTAATAACTTTCAAGCCCAAATACATAAAAACGTTAATCTTAGAAAATTCCCCCAACACTTCCATACCCAACCCTTATTTATTGATGTCTAAGCCACCTCCCATCAGCCAACAGCCAACAAAACATTTCAGATCAAACTGCAGACCTAGCAAAAACTATCAACGCACCTTCAGAAATAAATCTTCAACTTCTCTTTCACGGATGTCACCAGGAAGGTTCCCAACGTAGACAGTTCTGCTCGAGCGTCTACTCATTTTTTCTGCCGTACAAAATCGAAAAATTACCAAAAACAAGTTAAAATTAAATAAACATTTATGTTATTCAGTATGCCCTGGTGTCCAATACAAAACCCAGTGAAGCAAAAAACCAGAGTTAAGGTAATTGAACGAGAAATTTAAAATTCTGAAAAGAACATCACAAAAAAACGGGAAGGGGATCACCGAAATCGAAATTCGAGTTCGCATAGAAAGAAGTGAGAGTAAAGAAGCAGTGAGGAGTGCAATTGGCGGAGAAGGACTCACCTTCGATAAGTGGGGATTGGAATCGGTGGCGTTGCCGTGAAAGGTTGAGAGAGGTTAGGGTTTTTGATTTTAGTGTCCGACACACGAGAGGGAAATGGGAGG